ATTTGTGTCAAAAAGACTCAAAGCATATTGAAAGTTGAAACTTTGAGACAAAGTTCATAGGGATTTTCGGCATTTGTTCGGAAAAGTTTCGTTTTTAATTAAACACAACGTGGTCCTCTAACTATAAGCCTATAACACGTACTGAGATATTAGAATAACATGTAGAGAAAATGAATGTCAATGTCTTCAATTAATTATGACAACAACCAAACCAAACACATCACACAAATTACCATATACCATTTTATAAATATCTATACACAGGAAGCGAGATGAGTTACTATTTATACTCATCATTCCAAGCATTCAAAGGAGAAATTTTCTTTTTTTGGTTTTCGTTTTACATATATACAAACTACATAAAAACATCATAGGAACTATGGAGCGAAGTCGTTCTCTACATCATCACATCATTTCTTATTTCTTTTCATCTTCTTCGTCGATACGGTTTTGGTGTATTTTCGTTCTCGTGTTGTTGTTATCTACGATAACTACAAACGCTTTAGTGAAAATTCCAGAAAATGTTTCTGTTCCGGCGATAATAGTATTCGGAGACTCAATTGTCGATGCCGGAAATAACGACGATATGATAACGGAGGCTAGATGCGATTATCCTCCTTATGGTATTGATTTCGACGGTGGAGTTCCTACGGGAAGATTTTCCAATGGCAAAGTCCCCACCGATATTTTAGGTTAGTTTGCCTCTAATTTCATTTTTTTTGTTCTTCGTTGCAAAATTTATTAAATTAAAGTGTTATATAACACGTGACAAAAAATTGTTATATAACACTATCATATGCATTATTTTAAAATGCATTAGCTAGCTGACTAACTATTCAAAATCCGTGAATAGATTTATTTGGTACTCTAAGATGATGTGTACAATAAAGTTAAAAACATCAAGTCGCAACTTGTAAGCTAATAACCAACTATATTGTATCTTCATAATTTTATTTTGATGTTATAGCTGAAGAACTAGGGATAAAACCAAATTTACCGGCGTATCGAGATCCAAATTTAAAACCAGAAGAACTCTTAACCGGTGTAACGTTTGCTTCTGGTGGGGCTGGTTATGTTCCTTTGACAACCAAAATAGCGGTAGTTAATCTCGAATACTTATGTTTTTTGGTCTATTCAAGTTTTTTTAAAATAATAACTTTTTTCTCTTCTTCTCAATGTTAAAGGGAGGGATACCGTTATCACAACAATTGAAATTATTTGAAGAATATATAGTGAGATTGAATGGAATGGTTGGAAAAGAGAGGACAAAATTCATAATTAGGAATAGCTTGTTCGTTGTTATATGTGGTAGTAACGATATCGCCAACGACTTCTTTGCTCTCCCTCCGGTTCAACTCATATACGACGTCGCTTCTTTCACTGCTCTTATGGCCGACAATGCTCGTTCTTTTGCTACGGTAAGACAAACTTTATTGCATTATGATTAGTATATACCTTTGGCCGGTCAAATGAAAATGATAGACGGTCCAAATCAAGAAAAAATTGTGGCCATTTATTAATTATTCATAATTACAAATAATAGTATTATGTTTAAAGAAACTTATATGATTTTATTTTTTGAAAAAGAATATGAAATATTTTTTAAGCAATAATTCCTTTATAAAACAACATAGACGTAAAGATATAACCGTTACTCAAAAATATAAAAATAAGNAGTCCAAAAAAAAAAAAAAGTGTTGCTCGTACGATACTATTTCATAGTTTTGATTTTTTGATTTTTTTTTTTATCATCATGTGGTGCTCGTACGTAGACATTACACGGATATGGAGCAAGAAGAATACTTATATTTGGTGCACCACCAATAGGATGTGTCCCTTCGCAAAGAACCGTAGCAGGAGGACCAACAAGAGATTGTGTTGTTAGGTTTAATGATGCATGTAAAATTTTCAACACTAAGCTCTCTGCAAATATTGATGGCTTGTCAAGAACTCTACAAGACGCGACGTTACTCTATATTGACATCTATACTCCTCTTCTTGATCTCATTTTAAACCCTCAACAATATGGTAATTCAAAATTCTTATATTTTTTTTGTTTAAAACACATTATTTTACCAAAATATTTATAGTAAGAGTGTTTCTTTATTTTAATTTTTTATAGGATTTAAGGTGTCTAATAAAGGATGTTGCGGAACGGGACTAATAGAAGTTACTGCGTTATGCAACAACTACACAGCTACTGTATGTCCCAGAAGATCTGATTATGTGTTTTGGGACAGTTTTCATCCCACTGAAAGAGCTTATAGAATTATAGTTGCCAAACTTTTCGATAGATATCTCAACAGATTCTTCTAAATAATGTAGCTCCTATTTTTAGAAAATGTTTGTCATACTCTATTCAGGATTATTTGAATTACCATTACAAGGCAAAGATAAATTACACTTTTGTCAATTTCTCCTTTTTCAAGGCTTATCATTAGAGAAATTGTCTCTTGTGATAATTTTATGGCTATATAAACAAGATTAATGTATATTCTACATGCTTTATTATGCTAAACATCTTCGGAAAAAAATTATTTTTTTTCCATTTTCGACAATAATAGTACTAAGAATGAAGATAGATGATAATCGTCGAATCACTTCGTCAGTGAGAAGGCCCAAGGTTGACAAGAAGAACTAAGCATAAGGCCCAAAAATCACTTACCTCTCTATACAATTCTTGAATCTTATGTTTCTTCGAAAATGCCTCAATTTAACTTCAATCGATATGAGCTTAATTATAATGTTCATAAAACATAGCTTTGTGAAATCCACCGATCGATTATGATCAGTGTGTGATCAGTCAAGAGAAGAATCAGGTTCAAATCACAGGTTTCAATAGCTTTCGGAAATATGAAACATCGGTGTTCTATTGGTTTGTACTTTACATTTCATCAACAAAGGAAAATAAACAAATGAAAAAAACCCTACAGAAAAGCAAATTTACGAACAAAACAAAGTCCAATCAGAGAACCCCAAAATTAGTTTTTAAGCCCGATCATAATTTGTTAGAACCCGAAACAAAGCCCAATTATGGCCCTGCGTGAGTAAAGTTTCGGACTTCGGTCATAATTGTTAGTATTTGCCAACTACTATTTGGTACCTCATAGAATTTGTGACCCATTTTATAAGCCATTAAAATTGTTTTTGGCAAAAAACAAAAGTACACAACTAGGGATTGGCTTAGTCCGTTGTGTGTTTTATATTTTATTTTAGATTTAGAAATTAAAATAGATGTTAAAATAGTATTCTGGTTCAGTGATATGATTTTCTTTTTTTTTTTGGGGGGTGAAGACGAAAAAATAGTAATTTTACCATGCCCCAAAATTAATATAATAGTTTGAAAAAACGCTTCCCTATGCTAATCTAGTTAAGTGTTAAATGTTCTTGACTATTTGACATTAGGGGGTAAATTTTCCTTTAGATATTACCATCTTTATACATATATACATACTGTTCCAAGCTTTTTGTTTTATACTCTTCTCAATTCAAAAGCTTCCAAAGAAACAAATATTTGTTTCATGAAAAAGAGCAACAACAACAAAAAAATATTTGTTTCAAACAAAGATATATAGAGAGAATAACAATGAAAGGAAACAATATTGTTCATCACATTACTTCTTCTTCGTCGAAACTATTTTGGTTTGTTCTCTTTCTCGTGTTGTTCTTTAAGACGACCACAAATGCTCTGGTGAAGCTGCCGCCAAACAAGACGATTCCGGCAGTAATAGTGTTCGGAGATTCAATCGTTGATGCCGGAAATAACGACGACATTATTAAAACATTGGCTAGATGCAATTATCCTCCTTATGGTATCGATTTTGACGGTGGAGTTCCTACCGGAAGGTTTTCCAACGGCAAAGTTCCAACTGATATTATAGGTATAAAATTCCACTTTGCTTTCTTGATTTGATATAATTTTGTGCTTTATAAACATAACTTTTAGCTAAAAAGAACTATAAGAAAGTCCAATATAATGTATCGTGTATATTACTGGATAATATCTCAGTGATTGACTAATGTTGTTGTATGTAATTAATTTACATTATTGATTGAAAGATATGTGATGAACCTAGGCACCAAGAAACTAAAAAAAAGGTACAAACATTTAAATTAGTGGTTGAGTGTTGGAGGGGTTTCGGTACAATCAACATTCAAATCTGGTTATCCTTAATATGATTTTTTTTATGTCTCATTTTCTTCAATTTTAAATCGTAAATGACATTGGAAGCATCACATAATTGAAGGGTAACAAGTTTATTAATAGTAAACTACAACATGTAACTAATAATCATATTTTTTTTCTTTGTTGTTACCCTAGCGGAAGAATATGGAATTAAACCAAGTATACCGGCATATCGAGATCCAAATTTGAAACCCGAAGATCTTTTAACCGGTGTAACATTTGCGTCTGGTGGTTGTGGTTACGTTCCCTTTACAGCCCAAGTTTCGGTAAAATCCAACTCTAAATCTAATAGGGTTTGTTTTCATAAACAAATATGATTATTTTTAGCGTTTGCTTTCTTTAACATTACTATTGTTTTGAAAGGGAGGAATACCCTTGTCGCAGCAATTGAAACTATTCCAAGAGTATATAGAGAAACTGAAGGAAATGGTTGGAGAAGAGAGGACAAAGTTTATAATTGAAAACAGTTTGTTCATGGTTGTATCTGGTAGTAATGATATAACCAACACCTACTTTGGTCTTCCTTATGTTCAAAGCAAATACGACGTTGCTTCCTTTACCACTCTTATGGCCGACAATGCTCGATCTTTTGTTCAAGTACTACTAAAAATCATTAATGACCTATTTATTTATTTATTATATTTAGTAAGTTATTATATATGCTTAACTTTGTTTTTTAATGATGGTGTATTTACAGAAATTGCATGAATTTGGAGCAAGAAGAATACAAGTATTTAGTGCACCGCCACTAGGATGTGTACCATCACAGAGAACCATAGCAGGAGGATCAACGAGAACTTGTGTTGATAGGTTTAATGATGCAACAAAGCTCTACAATGCTAAGCTATATGCAAATTTGGATTCTTTGTCAAGAACTTTAGATGACAAGACATTAATCTACATCGATATATATGATTCTCTTTTTGATATCATTCTAAACCCTCAACAATACGGTAAATATTTGTTTGTTTTTCTTTCTATGGTTGTTCGTTTTTAATTATCATACATTTTTATTTCATCAAAACGTTGATAAAATTGTGTGTTTGTCATGAATGTGACAGGATTTAAGGTGGTTGATAAAGGATGTTGTGGAACCGGATATATTGAAGTTGCTATTTTGTGCAACAACTACACAGCTGAAGTTTGTCCAAAGAGAGATGATTATGTGTTTTGGGATAGTTTCCATCCCACTGAGAAGACTTACAGAATTATGGTCGCAAAATATTTTAGGAGATATTTTAATAAAACGTTTTAGTTTATGACTACATGGATTGACCAAAAATAAAAATAAAAAAGACTACATGGAAGTTACAGTCTGATTTATTAAGTTTTGTTGTTGTTAACGTGAGATATGTATTTTGAGATAGTTTTCATCATACTAAATAAAACTTAGAGAACTATATATAGCCGGAAAATAAAAACTTTTTAATTTGTTAACATAGAAAACTTAGTATGTGCTTATCATCTTACCATCTTGTTGGAAGGCTGCTAGAACCAACGCCATCTCTTCTGTGGAAGGCCAGTGTCATTTTCCATGATATACTACAACGCCAGTTAGTTGTATTAAAATCATCATATTTATCTTTATAATTTTTTTACTTGTTCGATCAAGGTCAAATTCATCGACCTTCCAATATACTCTTGTGTGAATTAATTCAAAATTGCAATGCTAGGTGCAGCTATATATATTTTCTGGTTTAGCAAAACAAAAAAAAAAAAGCTATATATATTTTGTGTCAAAAGATTTTCGAACTAACACATGAACAAGAAAATGTTTTACAAAGTCAGCCCGGTCCATATAAAAGCCCAGTCAGCAATATAAACCCGAAAATTAACAGAAGTGGATTACTTGGATTAGTTACATGAACCAAATGTTGAACTTGTAATTGAACCATCTTAATAAGCCGGAGGGTTTTCTCTCGAGACACTGAACAATCGATCATTACTAGGCCATGCACCATTTGCCACGACTGATTCGACCATGATTCTTTTAACAACCAAATGAGCGGTAAAAAAAAAGAAAAAAAGACGGAATCTTTATTTATTTTGGACATGAAGCTGTAAGCATCTATCACGTTGGGAAGGATCAAATCTTGTACTAATTAATTATGTGAGTAATTTAATATCTCTAGTATATTGGACCCAATAATAAATGATCAATTTAATTTCATACAATAAATGAATGATTATCAAACCGAATTCTAAAATTCCAATTAATGGCTTCACTATATTTTTTTTCTTTTGTCTTTACTATACGTGGAAGTAGCTACTACGTCACTTCAAATTTGTCGCTGTCAAGTTATTGCTTTATATAATAAATACAACAACGATAATTCACCGGGTCCATCTTCTTTGAGATCATGATAGGGGATACCATAGACTATTGTATAAGATTTAGTGTTCTTAAGGTTCCAAAACAAAAAAAAAAGATTTAGTGTTCTAAAAAATTCACCGGTCCATCTTCTTTGAGATCATGTATAGGGGATACCATAGACTATTGTATAAGATTTAGTGTTCTAAAAAAAATCTGGTTAATATTAGATGTTAAAACATTGTACATAGGGAGAGTTTAAAGCGATAGAAAAAAGGATGAAATAATAGAGATTTGAAACTCTTCAAGAAATACAATTGGTGCCGGAGTTATTTGAAGTTGAAACACTCGAAACTATGTGGTAAGATAATCCACATGCATTAGATCCGTTGGACTGAGTACGAGATAAGGGACCCAAACTTGCTTGGATAATCCTGGTGGTTTCGGAAACGAGAAAGCTTGATGGTCTTGATTCATAAGAATGTAAATAGACATTTCTTTATTTTCGCTATATATGGTATGAAAATCCGAACATATATTGTTCCATCGAATCAAAAGCAATCTGATCCAAACCCTAAACCCAATCGATATGACCTCAAATTGGTTAATTCAATGTTTATTATTGAAATTGTTTTTACATTCTAAATGGTATTCATTTTTTTAAAAAGAAAAAACTATAAATACTCTTCAATAAACGGAAAAACATGATGTATTTGAAGAACGTATGAAATTTTTTTTTTACGCATAGCTATACAAACTTAATTAATTATGTTAGATAGTGGTTGGGCGATAATATGATTGTGTGAATCATTAAATTAAGTTCAACATTCTAGTAGCCTTTATATATCTTACTTAATAGCTTGATTTTTTGGATACTTGGCTTGCTATTTATATTCTATAATTATTATATTTGGACCGTCGTTATATAGCTATGAATAACAGCAAGCTTCTCTCAAAATATACAAACATTTTTTCCATTAATGTATTTTATGGTAGCCACAACTTTTTTTCTTCTTAAAGTCACTTTTGTAACTTTTTCACGTGTGTATATATAGAGAAAGCTACCTACTTCACACTGATTAATTGTACTAGTATCACCAATTGCTTGTGATCTTCATCTACCAAGCCTTTGTTCCATTTTTTTATATATATAATTCGTATTTTTACACATGATTCGTTATGTCGATTTTTGTAAAGAATTCTAAAACACAATTAAAGTAGAATATGTTACGATAGAGACCGAACGCAAAACTGATGGGATCTAGAAGTCTTGGTTGTATTAATTATGATGACCTATAAAGTTGGAGTTCAGTAACAGTTTACATCACATGCTCAAAGATTTTATCATGAGATTCTTGAATTAAAGTATTATTACTATCACTCATGCATTTCAACGAAACATAATTGTCG